GTGATCATTGGTCTGGCTATGGAGACAAAACTAGTGATAAAGAAATCAGCTTTCCTTGATGCATCTTTGTTCAATTTTGGTTTTGTGTTATACTGGCTTCATAGAATTTATTTGGGAGTGTTTCTTCCCTTTCAGTTTCATGGAATAATTTGAGAAAGACTGGTATTAGTTCTTCTTTAAATGTCTGGTAGAACTCAGCTGAGAATCCATCTGGTCCTTGGCTTTTTTTTGTTGGAAGGTTTTTAATTGCTGTTTTAATTTCATTGTTTGATTATAAGTCTATTTATTTAGGTTTTCTCTATCTTCCTGGTTCAATTTAGCCAGGTCATATGTGTCTAGAAATTTGTCTGTGTCTTCTGGATTTTCTAGTTTATTGGAGTATAATTTTTAAAAATAGTTTCTAATGGTCTTTGGGATTTCAGAAGTGTCTGTGGTGATATTTTCTTTTCTAATCTTTATTTGGGTCKTTTTTCTCTTTTGGTTAGTTTGGCTAAGGGCTTTTCAGTCATACTTATCTTTACCAAAAAAACAAACAAACAAACAAACAAAAAACAAAACAAAACAATTCTTTGTGGTATTGATTGATTCTGTGTATTATTGTTTTGTACTCAAATGAGACAAAGATGCATGAAGGAAAGAAAATTACACAACAGTATCCCTGAAGGACATAGATGCAAAAAATCCTTAATATTAGCACACCAAATTAAAAAACACACCAAGAAGATAATACACCATAATTAAGTGGGCTTCATCCCAGGAATGCAAGATTGGTTCAACATACATAAATCAATGAATGTAATTTACTACTTACATAGAATTAAAAACACATACTTACAGCCATCTGATACTTGACAAAAGTACCAAAAAAATACATATGAGAATCATATGATCATCTGCATCAATTTATGCAGAAAAGGCCTTTGATAAAATACAGAACCCATTCATGTTAAAAAAAAAAAAACACTGGAGAAACTGGCATAGAAGGAACTTATCTCAACATTTTAAAGGTTGTACATGACAAACCCAAAGCCTAAGAAAACTGAAAGCTTTCCCTTTAAAGTCAGGATCAAGACAAGGATGTCCACTTTCACACTTCTATTCAATATAATTCTTGAAACTCTAGCCAGAGCAATCAGGAAATAGAAGGAAATTAAAGGGATATAGATAAAATAGAAAAAGAAGAAATCCCAACTGTCTCTGTTTGCTTATGTCATGGATATCTAGAAAACCCCAAGAATTCCACCAGAAGACTTCTAGAACTGATAAATGAATTCAGCGAGTAGCAGGATACATGATCAACATTCAAATCAATAGCATTCTTATATTATGACAGCAACTTAGCTGAGAAAGAAATCAGGAAAACCATCTCTTTTGCAATAACCTATAGAAAATAAAATATTGGGAATTAATGTAACCAAGGAGGTGAAATATTTCTACAATGAATACTATAGAACACTGAAGAAACAAATTAGAGAAGACCTCAGAAGATGGGAAGATCTCCCATGTTCTTGGATAGGCAGAATTAATATTGTCACAGTGGCCATACTATCAAAAGCAATGTACAGATTCAGTGCAATCCCCATCAAAATACTGATAACATTCCTCACAGAACTAGAAAAAATAGTCCTTAAATTTATTTGGAAGAATAAGAGACCCAGAATAACCAAAGTAATTCTGAGCAAGAAGAGTGATGCAGGTGGTATCATGATACCTGATCTCAAACTATACTACAGAGCTGTAAAAGCAAACCAGCATGGCATTGACATCAAAATATAAATTAAGACCACTGGAATAGAAGACACAGAGAGAAATGCATATACTTACAGCCATCTGATACTTGACAAAAGTACCAAAAATACACGTTGGAGAAAAGACTGGCATTTTAACAGATGGTACTCAAAAAACTGGATATATCTGCATGTATAAATATATGTGGAAGAATGAAATTATATCCCTACCTCTTACCCTGCATGAAAGTCAAATCAAAATGGATCAAAGACTTGTACATTAGACCAGAAACTTGGCAACTGCTAGAAGAAAACATAGGGTCAACATTCCATCATATATGTGCAGCCACCAATATCCTCAACAAGACTCTTGAAACAAAATCAAGAATATGTGTCATGCCATCAAATTAAAAACATTTCTGCAGAGCAAAGGATTAAGCTTGAAGAGAGAGCCTACAGAATGGGGAGAAAAAGACTTTGCCACTTGTTCTTCTGACAGGGAATTAATATTCAGAACATATTAAGATCTCAGGAAATTTAACACCAAAAACCCTAATGACCCAATCAGTAAATGAACAAAAGAAGAAACAAAACAGCCAACAAGTATATGGAAAAATGTTCAACATTTTTAGCAATCAAATGCTAATCAAAACTACACTAAGATTTCATCTCACATCAGACAGAATGGCAATTACCAAGAATACAAATAACAAACACTGGTGAGGACGTGGGGAAAAGATACACCCATACATTGTTTGTGGGACTGTAAGTTAGTACAACTATGGAAAGCAGTGTGAATATTCCTCAAAAAACTTGGAATGGAACTACCATATGACCTAGCTATCCCATTTCTTGGTATTTATCCAAAAGAACTAAAATCAACATACTGTAGTGATATAGCCATGTTTATAGCAGCACAATTCACAAGAGCCAATTTATACAACCAGTCTAGATGTCTGTGAATAGATGAATGGATGGAGAAAATGTGTTACATATATACAGTGAAGTTTTGCTAGCCATAAGAAGAATGAAATAATAGCATTTGCCAGTAAATAGATAGAAATGGAGAACATCACACTATGCAAAATTAGCAAGACTCAGAAAATCAAGGGTCACATGTTACTCTTGTGGAAGCTAGAGAAAAATAAGGGAAAGAAGGAACTGGAAGTGAGGCTTGGATATCATAATTATGTAGGAAAGATCAAGAAGGTAGAGAATGAGAGGGAGGAAGAATGAGAAAGGGGAGGAAATATGTAATGAATTTAATAAAATTATGTTATATGCATATATAAATGTACCAGAGGGAATTTTACTTTTCTACATATATATGTAGAAAGTACCAATCAAAAATAAAGGAGCAAAAAAGAAAAGAAAAAAGAAACCAGCTTGCCTTCTAGCAGTGTTGATTAACTTTGCTATTTGCTACAGTGATTCAGCCTTGTGCTCAGCCATCCTACTTTCAAGTCACATATAATTAAGCTAGGCCACCAGTCTTTGACACTGATTAGTCAATCCTTCCTGAAAAAGGGTGGTAATTTTGGTATCTTGCCTAAAGACTTTTTGGTAAAAATAATCTCTTTCCATCTCAGAACTGATAGATTAACAAAGTTTGTGGCTGGCTAAGGCGCTGTGGATAGGAAAGAAAGGTAAAATTGTATCAGAAACATACATCAGGATGAACRGATAAGAAGCCCTTTTATATAATCAACTTGCCACCAAGTGGATGGTTGATCTCATTGAGGGATAGTGCCCCTTACAGGGCTCATGTTGGTATCTCTTGCTAGCATTTCCAACATTGATCAGCAGCAGTATTAGCTTACCCTTAGTGAGAAGGAACCCATGCTGTTGGGCCAAACAATGCAAAGTCCCCATCTTGGTCACTGTGGTTACTCTGTTCATCAGCTCACTGTTGGCTGACCAAGGACAGAGTTAGAAAATATCTCTTGGCCAAATATTTGGACCATTTAGTTTAATACCTCATCTGTGGTGATGGTTTCTGGTAAGGATTATTGTGTAATATGTAATACACAATAAATTTTACCTTTATATCCACTTTGGTAGGACCTGCCACATTCCTCTTCCCCAGAGCTCTTTGCCCCCAGTTATCAGCTCTGTACAGATTTCTGCCCCCAGTAACATGATAGTCAGGCAGAAGATTGTAAAACTCTCTTAATATTTTCCCATATTTCTACATGTGGTACCCAGGAAACTGTTCACATCTGTCCTTTCTGAAAAATCAAAACAGATAGGATAAGAATCTATTCGGGAAAGTAGAATTTAGAAAAGAAATTTCTTGATTTTGTGAGGTAAACGTTGACGAGAGAGAGGTAGGAGGGATGATGGGAAAACAAGATTATTTATTAAGCCAAAGGAGAGAAGAAGAGTGGTAGAAAAGGCAATAAGGTTGAGAACCAGAGCAATTGGGAGATTATTACAGAGTAGAACAGTTCTGGAAACTAAGACCTCAGTCCAGACACTCTACTTCTGAGCTGAAGCTTTTACAAAAAGGTTTTTAACATTTATTTCACAAGTTACTAGGAAATTAGGGTAACTTTGGTTGGAAGATATAAATTATGCATTTTAGTTGTGCAGTTCTCCAACAATTTACAATTATCTGTGTATGTATAATATATATATACATATATAWATAGTTATTGATGTGAATCAAAATAATGTATCCAATTTTTTCCTTTTATGAAAGAGGAACCATAAACTTTTCTTTCTATATAAAGAACGTTTCTCTCCTGTTCTCTAGTTTTCACCAGCATGTAAAAATGGACTTAAATTATATAGGATATAGTATTTAAGTGTCTTTACATGTACCTCTTTTGTTACAATGGTAGCAATAGTATGACTACCTCCTGTTGTTAATACAAATAATTTTTCAGCATGTCTGGCCTTTGGAGTCATTTTATATGAGTTCTAATTTTAGCTCTATCATTGATGAGCTTTATGTCTCTGAGCCAGTTATATAAACTCTAAAAGACACAGTTTTCTAAACAGTAAAGTGGAAACAAACATTAGGCATCTCAAGTATTGTAATAAGGATTAAGTGAAATAATCTAGGGAAAGAACTTAGTATAATACATGTGATATATAATACAAGTGTTAGAGCTCAACAAATATTTTGATTATTTTATTGCTATTACTGGAATTATAAGATCACAGAATATTAGGTATAGAAGGCATTCATTGGTGAAGAATTTGGTTGTCATTTCTATTGTTGGATCTTAGGATATGAGTACATATAAAATTTACTATTTATACTTTCAGGAATCCTTAAATATATTACTTAAACAACTAGAAAAAGAAAAAAGAAGTCTTGAAAATCAAGTGAAAGACTATGCACTTAAACTGGAACAAGAATCAAAGGTTTGTTTTTATTCTACTAAACAATTCATTTGAAGCTGCCTTTATTTCTAGGGTTATCTACAAACCTACTATATCATTTTCATAAAATGATACAAAACCATTTCCTACAGTTTTAACAAAAAAGCAGGAGACATGAACCCTAACTTGGCAATTTTCTTGCTAATCTTCTCTTATGTTGGATTCTTTACATTTGTATGTTCTACATAGGCTTACCACAAGATCAACAGTGAACGCTGTAAATACATATCTGAAATGTCTCAGGTAATTTTTTTCTTTTACTTTCAAATTCTAAGGCTTTCCCTTCTCCTTAAGTTATGTATTTTATTTTTCTATAATTTGTGTGTGTGTTTGGTTAGATAAACAGTTGTTGAAATTATGGGGAAATGTTACTGAGTTTCTAAATATGGAAGATGGAAAGGGAAATACATAATTTATAAAGAGAGAAAACAGTCTCCCTAATTAAGAGATTATCTTGTATATCTGCTTCCTTAGTTATCCTTTTAGTTTGATCCATGATCACTAGAATTCAAACAGATAAGCTGCTATCCTTCAGCTATCACTTCATAATTATAGACACAGTATTGCTATTCATAGAAATATAAGACAGGAAAATTATCAGTACATTATCTTGCACATATTTTCAGCTTTTCATTTGTCTTTCAGTTTTATTTATGATATTGTTGGAATTTTAGAGCATTTTTATATTGCCAGAGCTCTTTTATTTATGGTTTCTTATGTCATAGTTTAAAAGGTAATCTTCATCTCAATGTTTCATAATGTTTATAGCATCATTTAATACTTACATGGCTTATTATTCAATATTTAAATATTTAAGCTATATTACCTTTATTTTGGCATATATTTTAAGATTAGGATATGAGTTCAGTTTTAAAAGTAACAGAAGAGTCCAAAGAGTAATTGGATATGGGAATCTCAGGAAAATGTTAAACTTTAGAGATAGATTTGGAAATTACTATCATATAGATAGTAAGAGAAGTCATGTGAATGAATTAATACATCATGGAGGATAAATAAGGTTAAAAGAAAAGATAGGCTATAATTCTGAAGACAGTGATAGTTATGGGAGTAACAAAAATGGTTGGGATCCTCAAAGCACAGCAGTTAGACAATGAGGTAGAGTACCTTGAGAGTGAGCTTGATCCAAAAGGTAACCTGCTCATCAAATCTAGAGTATCTAGAGGGATCAAGAAAGGATTAAGAGGAAGAGATTTAGGTTTGGGAATTGGAGCCAAAAATGGGATGAATAGTAAAATATGAGAATAAAAGTCAGGAAAATGGTGGGTAAAAGGAAACTTGGACTTGTAGTGTTCACCAAGCTTAAGCAGGAAATGGAGCTAAGGTAGAATCAGTGCTTGTAGTCTCTCATCCATAAAATGGACAATCAACTTAAACTTCATGGATCTTGACAATGGGTTGGAAGCACTGCTTCCTCCAAAGGTACGGGTACCCATGTGCCTTTCATCTGACTCTATACCTTGCATGGAATATTCTTTTTCTCATACATGCTAATTCCATCTCCTTCAAGGTATAGCACAAACACCACCTCCTTCATGAAGCCTCCACATGATGAAAAGACCACAGATAGTGGAGCCATTGCAAATTTGGGTTTGAATCCCAGCTCTGCACCTAACTGCTGTATGACCACTTCTTTCCTCACCTGTAGAAAGGGAGAATCTTTATGATGTCAGTATCAGTCTCAGGGTTCTGTGAGTGCTTAGAGACATGGTATATGTAAAGTGCTAAGTATAGTACCTGGCACATTATAGTTTCTAGATTTCAATTAATGGTGAATATTATTTTCCTGTTTTTTTCTTTCTTGAACACACTAGTCCATATGTATATTCTACATATTGTGTAGTGACAGCACCATCAGAATTTCAAATTGCTTTCTAGATCCTTGACTAATCTTCACTTAGCTGTAGGTTCTTGAGGTCAGTCAGAGTGCCTCATTCTTGCTGTTACTTTACACTGAGCAAAAAGAGTGGCAAATGATCAATGTTCAAAATGATTTGCCAAACTGAACATAGTACAAAATTTATGAATAAAAATTATGGAGATAATGAAAAGTTCAAATCCTTACACAAAAGGTGGTATGTAAAACACTGAAGGTTTTTTTTTTAAAAGGTTAAAATTAAAAGTCTTTTGCCCATGAAGCATTCATTTGCCTTTGTTTATCTTTAAAAAAAATCATTTAGGTGGAATAAGCCTACTCTGACTATACAAGATCACTGAATGTACAATCAAAGCCTATTTTAACAGCTTCCAGGGAAGATGTTAATCCTGTCTCCAGTATAATGTTAATAAGGATTTTCACTCTAAACTGAATTGTTAATCCTTATAGTCAAAGATGGTTCTGACCATGAGGATACTGCAGTGACTGGAAAGGTTAATGGATGATTTGCAGTTCTTTCCATGCTGAATACATAAATAATTTATTCTTTGGTAGATAACTAGAGCTATTTGCTGAATCTGCTTTTTATACTTCTGCAACTATATCTGAGGCTTTGTCTCACTCTCAAACCACTGTTTTGACTGAAACTGAATTGCCCCATCTCAGAATTATTCTAATTTGCACAATGTATGCACAATATAGGTATTATGTTTTTTTAGAGAGAGAGAAGAGAGAGATTTTTTTTTTAAAGAGAGAGAGAGAGAGAGAATTTTTTAATATTTAGTTTTTGGTGGACACAACATTTTTGTTTGTATGTGGTGCTGAGAATCAAACCCGGGCCGCACGCATGCCAGGTGAGCGCGCGCTACCACTTGAGCCACATCCCCAGCCCATAGGTATTACTTTTTAAGAATACACAGGTACATTGCATCTCTGAAAAATCAAGTGGTAAAACTGACTACAGCTTGTTGCAATACCTGATAAATTTAAATTTAAGTTTCCCATAAACACTGAATTTTGCAGTGGGTCTGAGTGATTGTTGAATATATTGATTTTGGTTTACTCACAGGGAATCTAAGGTGGTTCTAAATTCATCATCAGGCAGTTCTAACTCATAGACTTGTTCTTAAAACACATGAGATAGTACTTCTTATTCTCCTTCCCTGAAACTTCCTTAAAATTCACTGATTTTATCTCTCATGACATAGGTTCCAGACTGTCCCTGCATTTCCATTGCCTTTTGGGAAAACTCTATTTTGTTATTGTTCATTTTAAAATCAAGCAAAGTCTTGTCTCTGTCACACCCATTTTTCTTCTCTGTTGCCTAAGTGATCAATCTAAAATACAGTTATCATGGCATAATTTCCTTTTATAATACTTTGTTTGCTTTGCCCAAAAGATCATAGCAGAGCTCCTTGGTGTTGTCAACAAAGTCCTCTCCCAACATGGCAGTGCCTGTCTTAGCCTTTTCCCTGCAAACATCTGTGCTGCATCTAGACCAAATGCTATTTGCAATTCCTGCATCTATCATGCTGCTTTTTAGCTGAGGTCCTTGCTGTTCCTTCTATGTAGAATATCCTTTCTCTAGTTCTTAACTGGTTACTTTCTACATGTGTCCCCTACAGCCTGAGTTAATTGCATCTCACAAGCTGTAAGCTCACAAAGCACCCATGCAAATCTTTATCAAGGACCTTAATTGTAATCTTCTATTTGTTTTGCTATTTCCTCAATAGAAATGTGACTTATTTGTCTTTGTTCCTGGTCCATAATGTGGTGGTGACACATGGTAGATGCTCAATACATTTGCTACATGAATAAAGGAATGAATGAATTCCAGTACAACACACTCAAACCTGTCACTGTTAGCAAATGATCTAATATCTTAGATCAAAAAAGAGAGATGGCAAGGAGGCAAGGCAGAGGGAGTTGGGGGGTCTATCAGATATAATATCTAGTTGTTCTTTTTACCTTCAGATTTATACACACCTTTATCTACCATTCATGTTTTCCCCTCTTGTCTTAAAGAAAAGGATTTCAGCCTTCTTCCCAAGTCTGTCTGCTGCCTCTAGGACTCAATAATAATTTCCTCTTATTTTCTCTTTTACTGACTATAGCTTATCCTTTGCTTGCAATATGCTCAACTCTTCCACCAAAATAACAACCAAAAAATTTTTATTTAATTACAACTTTCCTCATAAAACTACCACCATAGATTTCTTTTTCTCAGCCAAATTTCATGAAAGAGTAGGTATACTCACTACCTTTGCTTTGAGTATACCCCTCAATCTCTTTTCATCTGTCTTCTGATCTCAATACTGTGGCCCCCGTTTATCATTTCATAGCTACATACAAAGACTCTTCTTAAAACCTGTGGTATTAGCAGTCTTTGCTCACGTCTTTGAATATATGCCCTAGCCCCAATACACACAGTTGACTTGCATGACATTTTTTTTTCTTGGGTTTTTCTGATGTTTAAATGATGGCCATATCTTCAATGAGTCTCCTATCCCCTAAAAGTTGCTTTCAGCTTTATATTATTGTGTCTTTTACTTCTCTGTATTACTCTTACTGTATGATCTCATTTTTTTTTTTTTTTAGTGACTTCAATTGCCATCTCTCAGTTAATCAATTTTAGTTGTTCCTGAATGGAAGATTATATTTACACCATTCACAGAAAGTCACCACTTTTGTATAATGGATGAATTTCAAAATAGACAGAAATGAATATATTAACTTGTCTTTCTGTCTCTGCTGTACTATATCTATGTTTCTATTGTCTTATCTATCATAAAGACAGAGTATATGTTTATATACTTTTACTTTTATGTTTACCTGTAATGATTTATTCTATGTGGATATTTCTCTATATGGTCTCTAGGGATGAGATAGGGGTATTTCCAGAATCTTTAGACGCTTGTTTATACTGGAAATCAGAATTTCCCATTATTATTCAGCTTCTCTTACACATGCTACTAAAGGACCTGGTAGTAAAGGAGTTGGATATTTGACTATTTTTTCTTCCCTCTGAAATTCATCCTTAAAGAAGAGGATAAACACTCAGTTTTTTGTATTTCAGGTCTCTGGCGCACATCAAGTTTCTAAAAGGCAACAGATGGATCAACTGCCTAGAATGAAAGAGAATCTAGTGAAAACGTAAGTCTAATTATATGTTTTCTTTCTAATTAATTATATTTGCTTGTGAATGGTAATGACAAAACGGGTGTCCATTACATTTTGGAAGTGGAACTTCTAGATTTTATAGCAACAGTATAAAATAGCAGATGGTAAGAGAACTTAAAAAGTTTGTGATCTCTGTTCACTATTTTTACACTTTTTTTTTAATTCCCAGAAATATTTTTAGATTTTAAACATGGGAAGAATCTTTTTTTTTTAACTAAAACAATGCAGTATCCAATGAAAGCTTAAAACTACACCATTAGTAACAGTATAAACAGAATTGAAGTGTCAGCCCTTATCTTTTTAGTGAGGAAGTATGGTCATTTGCAGTGGTCACTGAAATATAGATGCAGTTCTTAAAAATTATTTATTTATTAAATTTTTAATTGATTTTTAAAAAATAAATGACAGCGAATGCATTACAATTCTTATTACACATACAGCACAATTTTTCATATCTCTGGTTGTATATAAAGAATGTTCACACCAATTCGTGTCTTCATACATGTACTTTGGATAATGATGTCCATCACATTCCACCATCCTTGCTAACCCTTTGCCCCGTTCCTTCTCCTCCTACCCCTCTGCCCTATCTAGTATTCATCTATTCCTCCCATGCTCCCCCTCCCTACCCTACTATGAATCAGCCTCCTTATATCAGAGAAAACATTTGGCATTTGTTTTTTGGGGGGATTGGCTAACTTCACTGAGGATTATTTTCTCCAATGTCATCCATTTACCTGCAAATGCCATGACTTTATTTTCTTTTATTGCTGAGTAATATTCCATTGTGTATATATGCCACATTTTTTTATCCATTCATCTACTGAAGGGCATCTAGGTAGGTTCCACAGTTTAGCTATTGTGAATTGTGCTTCAATAAACATTGATGTGGCTGTGTCCCTGTAATATTCTGTTTTTAAGACCTTTGAGTATAGACCGAGGACAGGGATAGATGGGTCAAATGTTGGTTCCATTCCCAATTTTCCAAGAAACCTCCATACTGCTTTCCATATTGGCTGCACCAATTTACATCCCACCAATACCAATAAACATCAAAACTATAGCAGTGCTAATTTTAAAATACTGACTTATTAAGTGTTTCTATTATCCAGAGCAAATTAGGACATTAGAAAATAACAAACTAATGTGAAATTGTATTTTAAAACTCTATCAAAGAGGAATAGTGCCTGATGTAATATACTAATTCTTATATCCCTACTGTGTGAAACCACAGCCACAAATCATTAAGACATCTTTGTTACTGTTGAAAGATTAATTCTAGAGATACTTATATATGTAGATTTGAAAATAAGGCTTTTTAAAGATAAATAAGTAAGTTTTCTTTTGGGGATTAGGTTTGGATGATCCCAAAATATCCTAGACAAACTAACAGGTAACTTTGACTATGACCCTTGGCATGTATTTCTACAAGTAAGAAGCATAAAACTGAAACCAAAGCAGTGGTTCTTTTTTTTTTTTTAATATTTATTTTTCAGTTTTTGGCGGACACAACATCTTTGTTGGTATGTGGTGCTAAGGATCGAACCCGGGCTGCACGCATGCCAGGCGAGCGCGCTACCGATTGAGCCACATCCCCAGCCCCCAAAGCAGTGGTTCTTAAAAGCAGTAAACTGTAAAGTTTATTTCTTTTCTTTAGTGTGCTGCCTCATTTTTTTTCCTGCTTATGAAAATTTTTTAGAGTGATTAAAGGCCCTAGAGGAAGAAAATAACGAAGCACTCCGTAATGCCCTGGAATAAAAGAACCTAAGGGAAATTAATTTTAGGACCCATTAAAAGGGAGATTATTAAGGAAATGTTCTTTTGAGAAGGAAAACATCTACAGTTAAGAAAACTAACATATCCAACATTAAGGGAATAATTTTTTAAAAAAACTATGGTATTATATAAAGTTGAAAAATTAGCTTCTAGAATATGTAACTGTCAAAGAAAATGCTAACATATAATAGTAAATAAAAATTATAATAAAAATAGTATAATGGGATTATGGATGATTTGTATTTATACTCCTAGTATTCTCAATATGACTATGGATCCTTTATAATCATTTAAAATTATCTTAAAAGAGAAAAATTGAGAGAAAATATATCTACAAGATATCTTACAGAAGTCCCCAAGCCAAAATAACAGTGAAAATATTTATGTAACTAATACTATATGATATTTTTTAAAAAGTGAAAATGCAAGGTGGTAATTGAAAATTTGCACTGGTTTTGGAGCAGATAGAAAAATATACTTTGTCTCCAACTTTTATTATTTAATGTAGCTTCTATAGATAATTATTCTCAGATTTAGTTTAATCACCAATAAAATGAGGATGATGAAATCCAAATTGAATGGTTGGTATGAGAATGAGGGGTTGTTGAAAAACCTTAAGTTCAGTAAACATTAGCTATAATCCTTAGTGTTACAAATATAAATAATCTGAAAAGYAGCCAAGCATCCATTTGTAAGAAGAAAAAAAAGGTGCTAACATAATATTCCAAGGGGTACAGTTACTATCATTTATTTAAACCCCACAATACACAGGAGGGTAATATTCTTTCTGAACTTTTGTTGATCTTGGTTGATACCATATTATGACTAGTGTGCTCACATATTCATATATAACTGAAACAATTTATGAAACAATACAGCTCAATGATTTTCAGTATATTTACAAAGTTGTGCAACTGTCACCATTAACTACTTTTAGAACATTTTCATCTCCCAAAAGGAATATTTATCCATCCATCCCACAAACCTTTCTTAATTAATAGTCTTCTTTGCTTCTATGGATTTTTCTATTCTTGTTATGTCATATAAATGAAAGCATGGAACATGTGGCTTGTGTGTTTAACGTATGTCACTTAGAATAATTGCTTATAGATTCATCTACATTGTAGGATGTATCAGTATTTTATTCTTTTTTGTGATTGAATAATATTCCAGGTATCGGCATATCACATTTTGTTTATCCTTCTTCAGTTAATGGATATTTGGGTTATTTACACCTTTTCAGCATTATGAATAATGCTGCAGAGAATTTTCTGCAGAAGTTTTGTATGTATATGTTTATCCTGGGTATATGCCTAGGAATGCAATTGCTAAATCAACTCCAGTCTGTTTATCTTTTTAAGGGACTGCTAAACTGTTTTCTAGAGTAACTATACTGTTTATATTCCCATGTAATGTATTTTAGGGTTCCAGTTTCTCCACATTCTTACTAACACTTGCCATTTAAAAAAACTCTTTTTTTTAAATTTTTTTATTGGTTGCTCAAAACATTACAAAAAAATTTTAACTCTCCTATATGTGAAGTAATATCTTATGATTTTGATTTGTATTTCCTTTTTACATTGGATATCTTTTATTTATTTTTCTTGCTTAATTGACCAGGCTAGTACCTCTCATATAATATTGAATAGAAGCAATAATAGTAAATATCTTTAAATTGTTCCTGGTCTTAAAGGGAAAGTTTTAAATCTTTAAAAATTATATTGGTCATAGATTTTTGTCAATAGATGCCATTTTCAAGCTTAGTGCTTATAAGAAAATGTCTGTATTGGAAAAAAAAAATGTCGAAAAGAACAGACCAAATCCAAAGCAATCAAAAGCAAAAACATAAATCTAGTGTTTGCCTCATAGAAAAAAAATTAGGGAATATTCTCTTCTTTTTTATTTTTATAAAGAGTTAGCAAAGGATTGATTTTGTATATTTGTAAAATCAGTGAAGCCATCTGGTCCTGGTCTTAGTGGTTGCCCTGGTGATTATAATTAATATCTTAGTTAGCAATCTACTTGAGATTAAAAACAGCTTGATTCCAAAATTGTCCTACGCTCAGTTCCCTCCTCCTTTGTGCTGTTGTTGTGCAAATCACTTCCTTTTGCATCTTGTTTCCTTCCATCCACAGATTTCTAAGTATTGTTTTTCAGTTTTTTTTAAAATTTTATTTGTTCTGTTTAGATATACATGACAGTAGAGTGTATTTTGACATATTAGACATACATGGAGTATAACTTAGGATCCCATTCTTGTTGTACATGATGTAGAGTTTCACTAGTCATGTATTCATATGTAAACACAGGAAAGTTATGTATGATTCATTTTGTCTTTCCTATTCCTATCCTCTCTCCCTTTCCTTCATTTCTTTTTGTCTAATCCAATGAACTTCTATCTGCCTCCCCTTATTGTTTTGTTAGCATCCATGTATCAGAGAGAATATTCAGCCTTTGTTTTTGGAGATTGGCTTATTTTGCTTAGCATGATAGTCTCCAGATCCATCCATTTATCAGCAAATGCTATAATTTATTCTTCTTTATGGATGAGTAATATTTCACTGTACATATATATCACATTTTCTTTATCTATTCATCTGTTGAAGGACAGGCATCTAGGTTGGTTCTATAACTTAGCTATTGTTACTTAAGCTATTGTAAATACTGATGTGGCTGTGTCACTGTAGTATGCTGATTTTAAGTCCTTTGGGTATATTTTGAGGAGTGAGTAAACTGGGTCAAATGGTGGTTTCATTCCAAGTTTTCTGAGGAATCTTCATACTGCTTTCTAAAGTGGTTGCACCAATATGCAGTCCCACCAGCAATGTATGAGTAAACCTTTTCCCCCACATTATCACCACCATTTATTGTTACCCTTATTCTTGATAATTCCCATTCTGACTGGAGTGAGATAGAATCTCWGTGAAGTTTTAACTTGCATTTCCCTAATTGCTATAGATGTTGAACATTTTTTTCACATGTTTGTTGATCATTCATACATCTTATTCTATGAAGTGTCTGTTCAGTTCCTTTGGGTCATTTGTTTTTTGGTGTTAAGTTTTTGAGTTCTTTGTATATCCTTAATATTAATGCTTTGATGTGGTTTCATCTTACAGGTGGTAAAGATTTTCTTCCTGTTCACACAGTCATTTTTAGGAGGGAGTTATTTTTAATCAGTTAGAAGACTTAAAGTAACTATAAACAAAAATACATTTTTACTATCTTTTATTATGTTTCCCTATGTAACTACTTTTAATAGGTCTCTTTATTCTTCATGTGAATTTGCATTACTTTCTAGTGTTCAACTTGGAAGACTCCCTTTACCATTTCTTGTAGGGCAGGTTTGCTAAGGAAGAACTCCTCTAGTTTTTGTTTTTCTGGGATTATTTTAATTTTTTTAAATTTTAGAATGATATTTTTTGTTGCATTTGAAGTCTTAGCAGTYTTTTTTCCTCAGCCCTTTGGATATTTCATCCCACTGCCTTCAAGTAGACCATGGTTTTTTGATGAGGACTCACTGCTAATTTTATTGAGGATTTTTTGTACATACAGAATTACTTGTCTAAGCTGCTTTCAAGATTTTCTCTTTTTCTTTTAATAGCCTGACTTTGATATGTCTGAATGTAGATCTTTTTGTATTTATTCTTCTTGGAATTTATTGAATTTCTTAGATCAATGTTTTTCATCACACTTGGGAAATTTTCAGTTATTATTTTTCAAGTATTCTTTCTGCCATGTTTTCTCTCCCCTCTCCTTCAGGTATACCCATTATACATTTGTTAGTACATATGATTGTATTCCATAGATTTATGAAGCCCTCTTCACTTTTCTTATTCTTTATTGTCCATTGCTCAAAATGAACAACCCTAATTGATCTATCTTCAACTTCACTGGCTCTTCTACCTCTAGTCTGCTGTTGAACTCTTCTGCATGTGTATGTTTTGGTATATCTTTAATACTCATCCAGGAAAATTAGAACTCTACCTTAGCCTTCATTTTCTGCTTGTGCACAGAGACTCAAGGTCAACCAGAGGCAACAGCTAAGGGCCTTCTCATATCTTTCCTGAGAAGGCACACAATCCTACACATGTACGTAAGACACTCGAGTATGGACTTCTAGATTCCAAGAACTATCACGGTTTATTAATGCTTACTCCCCTGCTTTTCCTTTTAAGTTTCCTTGTTATTTTTTTTTTTTTTGCCCCTCTTATTTATTGCTATTTACTGACTCAAGCAGTATAAAGTTAAATAGTGGTTTCTAATAGTTCCAACAAATGCCCAACTGACAAAGCTTTTTACACTGGATCATCTCCAAGTCGGGTCAAATAAAAATAGCCTTATAATTGGGTAATCACTAGACTTTAAATAATGAAAATTCTCTGGGAACAAATAATGAGGCTTTAAAGGATTTACAACTTCATTCTGTTTGCCTCCTATGGTGTCTTTCAGACTGTTGGTTTTCACTATAATTGAGGGATATTTATTTTCAAGGCTACTACAGAGTTATTCAGGGAAGTAAGAGGTGAGGGGCAGAAGATAGGAATGGGGTAAGTTAAAGAAAAGCTACATATTTCAGAGTTCTTACTGAATTTTCACTGTTTTTGTTGCTTGTTGTTTAATACCCCATTATTCTAAGAAAATTGCTTCTCAACATTTTTGAGTTTGTTATTGCTTTTATGGAGAAGAGAATTTTCTCCTTTGTGAGGAGGAAACCAACAGGTTCTGTCATTTTTGCTGACATCGGTCTCTAATTTGTATGTTAAAAGCATATTGCAGGAGATAAAAGTGCCCTCTTACTGTCTCAAATAAGAATATAAGCAAGATTAGTTTTATATACAAAGGGATAAGAGGATCCTATGAAAATTTAAGGACACAGATTCCTAGATACTTACTGCTTTACTATTCCTGTTCTATTTTATAGCATCTATATTTCTATTTCCTTAGCTTCAATTCAGTTATCAGGGTAAATATAAAAAAGATGCAAGTCAGGGCTGGGGATGTGGCTCAAGCGGTAGCGCGCTCGCCTGGCATGCGTGCGGCCAGGGTTCGATCCTTAGCACCACATACCAACAAAGATGTTGTGTCCGCCGAGAACTAAAAAATAAATATTAAAAATTAAAAAAAAAAAAAGATGCAAGTCATTTCTCTTTAGAACTTTTCATATTAGAGCACTTGAAGGGCTTCTTCCAAGTGTTTGGTGAATCTACCCTGGAGTTGGCTGCCTCTTTAGCTGTGGTGAGATGATGTGGTATAAAATATAACTCTCTAAAATTGTACTTTAAGCAAAAATATGCATAGGAAGATTTCCATGTGAAAGATGGAACAAGCTGCAATGTACAGTTCTGCATGTGTGGTACATAATGTTTTTGTTATACATACTGGTGACTGAAAAATCATGATCAATGTATATTTTATTTCAGGGGGAGATACAATCCAGTTCATCAGAAGACAGTGAATGCCAAGAAAGGACCAGTAAAAAAGATTATAAAATCAAACCACCTTCCAAAACTCAATCCATAATTCCGGAACTGGATTTGTATTTCTTCCTTCTTTTTTTTTCCATCTGTACTATTCAACTGGTGAAGTTAATGTTCGATACATTTTTCAGGAATGAATAGATAAGAAAGAGCTTCCAAACTTCTCTTTAGCTTTTCTTCCAGAAGTTTATTCCTTTGTCTGCATGAATGCATTTTTCTCTAGTAACCCTGAAATATCTAATAGAAATACTTGTGATTTTTAAAATATCTTAGAAAACCTCAAGTTTGGCATCATTATACTCACTTTTTAAATTTTKTTTTAGTTGTTGATGTACCTTTTATATATATGCAGTGCTAAGAATCAAACTCAGTGCCTTATGCATGCTAGGCAAGTACTSCACCACTGAGCCAGAACCCCAGCCCTATACTCACTTTGAATAATATATTCACAAGCTGTCCTACAGTAACATTGCTATTTGGTTTCTAGTTGTCTGTTAGCTAAAAATATGAGTTTATAAAAAGATTTTGCTGTTTTAGGCTATATCATGCTTAGCTTTTAATTCACAGTTTAAACAAAATTTCAAATCAAATGCATGTTAGATTTTGACTGATATATTATGGTGTTATGAGAACAGTCTTCAATCATGAATCAGCTTGTTTATAGTCCCCATKCTGCCACGAAGTAGATGATCTTGGAGGGACAAGTCCCTTTATCTCATCTTTAATTTCCTATTCCTCTAAAATGATTAAGGCAATATAATTTTCTAAGGTTTCTTATCATTTCTAGAAAGTAAATATTTAATCATTAGATTCTGCCACTAAACATATAGTGATTTAAGTCATTTTGTGATATTTATTAATTCATAATAATGGTCTAGTTCTTTGGACCAAAGAGGTAAGTGTAGTTTTCAGCTAATGGTCTCACCTATATCTAGCACTAAACCTAAATTCTATTCAGTATCACCAGTAATGAATACCAAAGGTATTTCTACAACCATCTCTATAGATGTTTATTTTCTTTAAGGAAGAATACACAAATTTCATATAGCCAAATAATTTTTATGTGACTTTAAAATGTAATGCAGAGAAATAAAGTAACTTCCTGTAAGTTGTTCTGCTTTGGAACTTTTTAGAAATATTGTCCCTTGATTTTAAGTAAACTACAGGTATTAGATACTGTGACCCTTATTATTACACAAATGCTAGATTTTTATGTCTTTTAGTATGTTTCCCGGCCTTAGTAGAAAATTGATTATTTAAATAATGTAACAAGTATAATTATCAATGAAAAATAAACAAATTTGTTTCTTTTATACAGAAGTAAGCCATTTGGTGACCAAATGGAGGAACATTTGACATGGAGGAACATTTGAAGTTATCTCAAGCACTGGGACAGTATTAGTTAAACATCTTATCATGGGGATTCCTCTCATTCAGATGTTAGTTCTACAGGAGCTGTTTTGGGATACTTTCTGCATGTTAGAAAATGTCTAAAACGAAGTGATGGTATGTTGGTAGGAATAGTACAAAGAAGTTGGAAATGGAGGACTCTAGTCTGTATTATAATACCTGTTTGCCTTTCTAATTTTCTAACTTGAATAAATCACTTTTTATGTTCCCATTTAAAAAGCTGGGAATGTTTACACTCACAACTGCATAGGGATTTCTGTGAAGATAAAAAAGTACCTTCTATTTGTTTATTTCTTCATAACCCTTTTCTCTCTGAGAAGAATATGAGTTAACTTTTACTAAATATAAAGGTGTAAAAACATTCACAACATAAGAGATAAAAATAAAAGGTGAAGCTTTGCAAGAAACCCCATCTAATTGAAGCTTTACCTTTAAGCCTCCTAGCTGCCAGTACAAAGAAGAAAAGAGTTACATGGTTATCATTTTTTACAGAAGTAATATGTAAGTAGAACAAGGTTTTGTGTAATTAAGTTCTGAAGGTAATTTGTCATGTAAGGGTTTTTAAGAAAGTGATCTTTATAATAATCAAAGAAAGATAATTGTTTGATATCTTTTATTTTGTTTGATATTCAAATATGTATTGACATCAATATATCATTTTTTTAATTGGAAAGTTTAGAATTCATAAAAACAGTAAAATAGTAGATTAGTAAATCATATTTAATGTATTTCAAAGCTTTAATTTTATATTAAAATGAGTATAGCTATATTTAATATATTTCAAAATTTAAAATACCTAAATGTATCACAAAATATAATCAATTACCATTTATGAAAAATAAATGTTCAGATCCAAGATGGCTGGTAGAGGACTGCTGCATTCTGTGTCGCTCTGTGACCCTGGGACTCAAGTAGTGGGAATATTGTTTCTCTGCAAGTGATTAGAGGACCCCCAACAGCTGTTCCCATGCAGTAATCATGGCCACTGTGTCACACACTGCAGTGCAAAACTCCCGGCCACTCACCCATGCAGGACCTCTGTCTGAGTGCCCGAGCAGGGCCACCAGCATCAGCACCCGTACAGGAATCCCAGCCACAGCTCCCACACAGGACACCCAGCCACTGCCCACATGCAGGAACTCTGGCTGCCCCTCCCTTGTGGACCCCCCATCTACCAATCTTAAACCAAATAGCTGCTATTAAGATGTTTAAGGTTTTGTCACAATACACAGAAATGGTAAGTTATTAGATCTTTGAAAGCGTGAAAGAGGAATCTAAATAGTTGGTTAGTAGCAGGAGAAGAGAAAGTGGTTTTGGGGAGACAAGTAAGTGGGAAGACAATAGAGTACAAAAAACAAACAGAAATATATCCCAAGATGGAGGTTTCCCTGGTCACCTCCATCTTGGAAAACTGCAACCACTGCCATAGTCCACTACATGCAGTAGCCTACACCTGGGGATACTACACAGGGTCTGGAGATAGCTGCCAGCCACAACATAGCATGCCACAGAACTGTTATCTCTGAACACACTGCCCCTCACCACCACCTAGCCCCACCAGACTGGACACCCTGTTGCTGAAAGCAGCCACCTTCATCTTGGGACACCTTCACTGCCATCTTTAGTTGGGGCAACCCCCAACTTGGAACACTGGCTGGGGCTTAAAAGTAATATCAAGGTAACTTTTGTCCCCAACTCCCTGTCATTCCCTAACCTGCCACAGTGCTTGCAGCTACGCCATCAGTCTTGTAGCTCACAAAACCTGATTCTGAACTGCCCAATACAAAACATCTCTCCAGGACAGGTACACAGCCCACAGAGCACAGCCCAAAGACCTCTGGAGAGAAAGGTTCTGATTGGGAAGTAGAAAGGGAGGGGATGAGTGAAATAGTTTAGAGACCAGGAATTTGAGGTTTACAGGTGATATAAGGAGATAAGACTGGGAGCACACATCATACAAGCAGGCACCAAAGGAGATCCTTGGGGTGCAGTCTCCCATCAGGGACAGGCAAGTGCTATAGCCCACCTCCAGGAGCTACGCTCCCAAGACCAACCCTCCCACCCTAATAACTTTCATCATCCTGAGGGTGGAGTTACCAGCAAACAACAGACAACCCCACCTATTGGACAAGAAGGGTAGCAGGAAAGATACTGATCTCCAGCAAAAACAATCCTTGTATTTTCCTTCAAGATTTTTTTTTTTCTCTTCTCTCACCCTCATATCCCTGACATTTTTGAAACCAAGTACTTTTCATGAATTAGGCTACTGAGGACTGGGATGTATGAATACTATACTACAGTTGTGTTATATATTCTTTTATCTCCTATTTTTACATTTTTTATTTTTCTTAATATTTCTGTTTGTTTTTTGTACTCTATTGTCTTCCCACTTACTTGTCTCCCCAAAACCACTTTCTCTCTCTTCTCCTGCTACTAACCAACTATTTAGATTCCTCTTTGACGCTTTCTAAGATCTAATAACTTACCATTTCTGTGTATTGTGACAAAACCTTAAATGTCTTAATAGCAGGTATTTGGTTTAAGGCTGTATATTGTTTGTATTGGGATCTGTTAATATTGTTCTCCCCTTGAAAGGAGAGGTATTAGAATCCAGCAGGGACACTATAAGCCTATAGGGTAAAAACTGTAATGCCTCAGATTCACAGTGCTAGAAGGAAGACACATTAACAACATAAAAAAACGAGGGATAAAATTGCCCCAAACAAAGATACTATATTATCAGAATCCATAGCCAGCACAACAGAAAAAATTACTGAGGAGTTCAGAGTGTACATAATTAAAATGTTCTGTGAATTAAAGGAGATATAAGAGAGCAAATACAGGCAGCAAAAGATCATTTCAATAAAGAGCTACATAAGCAAATACAGGAAGCAAAAGATTACTTCAATAAGGAGATAGAGGTTCTGGGGGAAAAAAAAAACAACAGAAATCCTTGAAATGAAGGAAACAATAAACCAAATTAAAAACTCAATAGAAAGCACCACCAACAGATTAGATCACTTAGAGAACAGGACCTCAGACAGTGAAGACAAAATATATAATCTTGAAAAGAATATTGGCCACATGGTGAAGAAGGTAAGATACCATGAGCAGGATATTCAAGAAATATGGAATAACATAAAAAGATCAAATTTAAGAATTATTGGGATAGAGGAAGGCATAGAGTTCAAACCAAAGGAATGAACAATCTATTCAATAATATCAGAAAGTTTTCCAAACATGAAGAATAAATCAAATACAAGAGGCTTACAGGACACCAAATGTATAAAATCACAACAGATCCACACCAAGTTACATTAGAATGAAAATGCCTAGCATACAAAATAAGAGAATTTTAAAAGCCACAGAAGAAAGGATCAGATTACATATAGGGGAAAACCAATTAGGATATCTGCAGATATTTCAACCTAGACTCTGGAATCTAGAAGATCGTGAAACAACATATACCAAGCTCTGATAGAAAATGGATGGTTAATCACTAATCTTACATCCTGCAAAATTAAGCTTTAGATTTGATGATGAAATAAAAACCTTGCATAATAACCAAAAGTCAAAAGAATTTACAATTAAAAAGTCTGCAACTCAGAACATCCTCAGCAAAATATTCCATGAAGAAGAAATGAAAAACAACAATGAGGGCTGGGGATGTGGCTCAAGCGGTAGCGCGCTCGCCTGGCATGCGTGTGGCCCGGGTTCGATCCTCAGCACCACATACCAACAAAGATGTTGTGTCCGCCGAGAACTAGAAAATAAATATAAAAAAAAAAAAAAAGAAAAACAACAATGAAAATCAGCAAAAGGAGTATTACACTACAGGAAATACTTATCAAAGGAGACACCAAATCAAGTTAAATAA